ATTGTTGAGCTGAATGTAGATTTCTGGGAAATATTCTGTAAACTGTAAAACACTAAATAAAAGTAAGCAATGTTCATGTTTATTGAACAAATGGATGAATGAATGAATAATAATTCTTATGTTTTTATGGTATAATATAATTCAAAGATAGGAAATGAGTGAAGAGAACACTTACAAACTGAAAAATCCATCCCCAAATAATCAAAGGTGTTTCAGTTTAAAATGTTTTATTATTCCTATATATTCTGAACTTCTCTCAATTACTTTCATAGAACCAATTCCTTAAATCAGATTAAGTCTGATATTCAGATCTAGATGGAGGAAGGAAAAGGTTGCAGTAAGTAGGCACACTGGTGGGAATTCATCTTGGATAAGACAGAGCCTGATACCCATTTCAATAAGTAAATGCATGCATAAAGTCAAACGTGAATAAATCGCTCCTAATAATTAGTAAGTCTGGGGTTCACAGGTATGATAAATCTATGTACTTCCGTGCTTCAGAAAAAAATCACAGCATGCTTCATTTATGCAGTCATAGAATTAACCTTCATTCTTTGTCAAGAGAGCTTATAAGAATAGTGAGTGCAAAGTTTTTTTATATCTTCTTATGAAATATCTGAGATTTCTGAGGACTGAGATATATATACATGCCAGGGAAATATAAACTACCTAAACCACAATGTTGAACAGAACAAGAGAATTTTCCATACAACTATTTGAAAAATCAAATGAAAATTTAACAGTAGACTGTGTATAGACGATTTTCTCTGTCTGGAACTTTTCATATAAACCAGTGTATTGCTTGCATGTTTGTTTTAAAAATAATATTCTTATTACCAAAAAAGGGGCAACAGCCATTAAGAACCTGGATTCAAATCCCAGCTCTTCCTCTGGTAATTTGACCTAGGGTGAGTTACTTAATTACTCTGTGTCCTTTACTTTCTTTATTCTGTAAAATGGGAATAATAATAATAATAGTAGTAGTAGTAGTAGTAATAATAATAGTGACAACAACAACACAGAGTAAATTAGATCATGAACATAAAAGATAGTATAACAGTGCCTAATAAGTAATTGTGCTTAATAAATAACAGTTGTTATTATTTAAAATACTTGTAGTTTTTTTAATTTAATGAAATACATTTTGGTATGATGGGTCTCAGCACTACCTCATTCCCACTACTGCTCCCTGGTATCTTCCTTTAATAAATATTTTGTGTCTTAATAAATGACCTGACAAGAGAGGGGAGGCAACATTAAAACAGAACAGAAGAAAAGCAATTTATTATTTTGATACATATTAACTGGTATGAGAAAAGTAGTGACAAAAAATTAAATAACAGCTTTTAAACTTCTGGTAAATATTTTAAAAAGCAATCTTTCTAATGCAAGTAACACAAAGTATCAGTTCTACAGATTCAAATATTACGTCCTTGTCACTAAAACCAGTAGAACAAATCCTTCATTTAGGGCAGTCGAGAGCCTTACCTTTCTTCAAACAAACCCTAAACTGAGGAGATCTTCTCTATTTTCTTCAACCCCCATGAAAATTAATTATTCAAAATCCTATGTGCACTAAGTGACTGTGATTTCCTCACATTCTATAGCTCCTTCCCTATTTCTCAACGGTTTAACTTGGAAGCCTTCTTGACTTTTCCCAAAGTCTCCATCTCTTTCAAGTAAGAAAAAAATTTTCATGTAAAATTGAGCTGCTTCTTTCTTTATCCCCTCTCTCCTTTGCTTCTTCCATTTCATTACTCCAGGTTTGGCTGTATTCTAAGTTGCAAATTCTAATCAGTAACAGATTTACACACAAGTGAGTGGCAATTTTTAATATATAGTTGTAGCAATTGATATTGTTAATTAAGTTGGATAACTTTTTGTTGTATATTACTGAGTTTTAGCTTACCAAGACTACATTTCATGTTTTTCATTTCATTTATTCATCCAAAAATATCTATCTATCTATCTATTTATTTATAAATTTATTTCTGAAGTACCTACTACATGTTGGGCACTTTGCTAGGTACTGAGTATACAGTGGTGAGTAAGATGCATACAGTCTCTATTCCCAATTTTCCATTAAATGGTTAAACTATAACAACACAATGCTGTTAATAGAAGCACAAAATGAAAATAAAATCCTTATTCACAACTCTTGAAAGTTTCATAGTGGTTACTTGAGTTTTCTGGATAGTTGAGAAGTCAACTGGTGGCATACCAGAGCCAGCCTGTACAACTGTTATATTTTCAGGAATTTTGCAAGCCAACTGTTAAATAAGGCTATTATTTAAAATTAAACTATAGAGAGGTGAGTATAGGTCAGTAGTAGAGCACATGCCTAACATGCATGAGGTCCTGGGTTTAATCCCCAGTACCTCCATTAAAAAATGTTTTTAAATAAAAATAAATTAAATTATATAACATAATTAAGCAATTATATTCAAAACAAAGATAATAAATACTCAAAATCTATCACTTCTAAATTATTTTATTACATTTTCTTATTATCTATGCACTTCAGATTATTTAGATCCCTTGTATCTATATGGTGGCAATTCTACATAATGGTTTGTCACTGTGCATCCCTTTTTAATTCTGTGACATCATATTGGTAGCTTGAAATTGGCTATGGTAGAAGTATTTACTTCAAAGAAATTGGCAAACACTGCAAATCAGGTTGGTTGGTTTGTTTCCAGGAAGCCAGTTCAACATTTATCAGCACACATTGAGTTATGCTTTTAAAAAATACAAAGTAAGTTTATAAAGCTTTAGGCACAAGTTTCTTGAATGTATTCAATCATTTCCTACTTTCTAATATAAAGTATATTTAATATATTTTCTTTCATCATTTCTGGACAACTTTGGATTATCAATATGAACATCCATGATTACCCTGGGCTATGACATGAAGCCCAAATACCTCCATGTGTCCTTACTGAGTGTCTTTCAGCCTGTTGTCAGGCTGCTAGCTGTCACCTCTGCCAGCAATTATGTGGTTCCTTTTCCCATCATTTATCAGATGCTCCTAATCGTCTCTGGGCTTTAAACCAAATTATACTAAAGTCCTTAGAGCTATGAGTAAAGTAAGGGCAAACACTATCTCAGAGAAGATATTTTGTTTTATAAAAGTGATTACTAACCTTTGATGCACAAACTTTATTAGATCTATTTTCCCTGCTCATAGCTCACTTTTTATCACTTCTTGGTTGGGAATAAGTTCAAGATAGGTGAGGTTCTGAGGAAATTAAGTTTAAACCAAGTCATATTGATATGAAAGCTTGAAAGTAAATTCATCCTCACAGACAAAACTCTGAATTTTTAAGAAATGCAAGATGCTTACGAGAACACATAACACTGAAGAGACGTTGAAACAACTAAGTGTGCATAGTTCAAAGATGCTTTAATGACTCTATCACGAAATTCCAGTAAATCCACTGCATCATTAAGAACGTTACGAACCTAAACAAGGAAAAATGAAACACCAACAAACATTAAAATACATCAAACTTTTAATTAGGAAGTTAGCAAGATTTTGAAACACAAAAAAATTAAACATATTCTTGACTACCTAAATATAAAAAAGAAGAATTCAATAGGAACTAGGCATAAAATAACATATTTGGGTATAAAAATCAACCAGCAAAAGAGCAGACACAGAAAACGTCTTAGAAATTAGTAGAAAAAGACCTATAGAGATTTCTAACCTGAAAGCCAATCTGTATGATGTAGCAATAAAGCAATATGGTGAAAAACACTACAACACTGAGATACATAGTCAAAGGAATATGGCATAGTTGGAAAGAGACTGTATGATTTCTGCCGAAAACAGTAAAAGGATCTCTTTTTAGGGGTAGATTTTACTTTAAAATTTAACTTCTAAAAAAAGAGATATAATAACTTGAAAAATCAAAAGAGGAGTAGGTGGTGTCAGTAAAGAAACCAATTGCATAGTGAAGAAGCCAAGCTGCAGAGTGGGGTGGAACGCATTTCCATATGTAAAAACACATGTAAGATAATATGTAAGAAAGCTAAGCACCAACTAACAAATGGAGACTTGCCTATGATAGTCAAAATCATTATAAAAGTTTAACTGAATAAAGTTTATAAGGATTTTAACACTTGGCAGTATCAGCCAAAAATCTTGAAGTTTATGGATAATCTGCAACAAATTAAGAAAAATCTTGGTCAAGTCAAATTTATGAAACCTCTGATCAATACCAGAATGGGTAAGACCTGATAGTAAGAGGTGAAAAAATTGAGAAAAAGAGATTAATTGTACCTAGAAGTTAGTATTTCTTTAAATTCCACTCAAAATATTATCTTTCTAAATTAATGTGAAAATTACAGTATTAATGAAGAATAAAATGGTATGGAAAGAAAAATAGGAAGATAAAGTCAAACTTCTTATAAATACTTTTTCGAAGTACTTATACCTATAAGGCATATTATATTTTTATTACCTATTCCCCAACTCCTAACCCCACCAAACTATTATCACCATGACAAGGATTATATATGTATAATCTTTGGCCCAGCAATCTTACCTATATAATTCTATCCCAAAATAAATGAGCAAAACTATGAAATAACATACACACAGGCTATTACTACCTACAGCACTACTGGTAATAGCAAAAGAATGAGAACAGCCCAAATGTCTATCAATATAGGATAGGTTGAATCAATTGTGGTACATTCACAAAGTAGAATAATATACAGCTATAAAAAGGACTGCTTAAGATCTATGGAGTGATCTCCACAATATATCGTAAAATAAAAATGCAAGATGCAGAATAGTGTGTATAGTATGATACCTTTCATCTTGTAAAGGGAAGGATATGAAGGTATATAGATTTGTTTATTTAAAAAAAACAAAAAATCTAAAACAGTATTCAGTAATATATTATTATAATAATATTGAGATTGTTATTTTAAAGTATACTTTAAGATATATTAATGTCTTTAGGAATCAAAATTTTTTTGTAAGAGGTAGGAACTGCAAATAGAAAAATCAAGAGTAAAATTCCATAACCTTGAATTTGAACTTGAAACCTCAGTATACACTCATGACATATTTTTATCTGTCAAAAACAAATACATTTTGTCTAGAAGTAATGATCAAACCAGTAGCAATGAGCACACCTAGAACCTGGATCATGGTCTCTAAATAACATTCCCCCTCAAAAGGAACAAGGCCTTATTGGAAAAGTAGCTGATTCCAAGTCTGGGACAGGGAATGCGTAAGGAGCCTGGAACATCTTGTCAGAAATGAAAATAAGCTATCAAAATCATCTCAAAAGAACACGGGAGTCTACTGGCCAAAATAGGATTATTCGAGCATTAAAGAGAACTGCAGTAGATTGAAACATATCAAAAATGTTGAAATCTGCCAATTTATAATGATAACATCAGCAGCAGCAACATAGAACTAACATAACAACAAAGAAACTCTTCGGGCATGCTAGGAAATCAACTCATTATTTGAAAATTGGTATATAAAGAAAAATAATTCAGAATTTGTCTCACTTCAGGGTAATCAAATGGTTGATAAGGCAAGGCCTTTTATAGAAGAATTTTAGCTAATAAATGCAGAAAGAATGATAGAATTACAAGACGCAACTCCCAGTGAAACATGGTTCTTAACAAGCATCATCTATGGCTGCTAAAAATATTAAAGCAAAAGTCTAATGAGAAACTACATGACAGATGAATCAGACTTATAACACCTGAACACACAGATCAATCTTATCATCACTAGAAGAGGGATAAGCTGACGTGTGTCTCCTGATGTAATAGGGAGTGAGCTGCATTACCTACAAAGTATCCTTTATACTTATGAGGGATCTAAATCTACTAACCAGTCTACAGGAAATACAAGGGTCAGATGAACGTGTTAAATGTAATCATACCACAGGGATGCAAACAGGAAACGTGGGATATTCAACAGAACAAATGACCTGGTTTCTTAAATAAACAAATAAATAAATAACAAGGAGGAGGAATTATTCCAGATTTTAAAAGACTGAAGAGACAAATTAACTAAATGCAATATGGGGCTTTGCTTCCTAATACAAACCAACCGACCATAAAAATATATATTTAGAAAATAATTGGAGAAATAAGACATGTTACTGTAGAAAGTCTCAGGAGACAACTAGAGAAATGCAAAATATCACTATGATTATGTTAACATAAAAACAGTTCTTATCTTGTAGACATTTTTTAAAAAGTCTTAACAAAAAGTGTTGCCAGGACTAGTGGTAAAGAAAAAGATACCGATGTTTGCTTCACTCTTCAATGAGTGGAGGAAATGATTGCAAAGAGAGAGTAGTCTGACGGCAGGTGCTTCAAAGGAGCTGGAGTTCTTTGGGGAGGAAGGCACTATGGTCTGGACTCAGCAATGAGGGGTAAGGAAGATACCTAACCGACCTCCAGAGCCAGTAATACTTGGCATAAAGAAGCCTCCTTCTGTAGAAGAAGGCTGTAGGAGAAACACTGGTCTCAGGAATCAGCTGGGTTTTACTTAGAACAAAAATGTGAAGCGTGCTTTCAGAGAAGCGGCAGAGCTCTGTGTTCACGGGCACAGGTTTATGCTGCCGGCTGTGTATCATACAACTCTAGGTCTCAGCGATGTGCTCCCTGGAACTGAGCAAGCCATGACTGTACACGGTGCCTCTGTGCATCTCTCTTTAAATGCTAGGCTGTTCTAGGTCTTCTTCCAGAAGGGGAGAAGAGAGCTACCCCACAGACCCCCATGCTCTGATTTCAGAGACCTGGCTCAGGCCATTTGTCTCACTTCAAGTCCTTTCAGGTCCATCAGCCTGCAAGAGCCATGCTCTGCACTGCCTCTGCCTCCCTGCTTCTGGACCAGGAGTCAAGCAGATTGGAGACGTCATTCTACACTCTGCATTTTTGTTCCATTTCTGGTCCATAGAGATGTTGATCCCGTTTTTGAGTCCAGATAAGTCTTTTAAAAAATATTTCATATATTATTGATCTCCTTGGAGCCAAAGGTATGTCTCTTCCTTCCAAGTTGAACTTATGACACCATTTTTACCAGAAGTCTGAGCTCCCAGAGATTTTTAAAAGGTCCAAAACGCTATCCTCTCCTAGAAACATTTTAAAGCTAAGGAATGAAATAAAAGTTTCTAAAGGAAGTTATATGGTAGTTTCTTTAAAGCAACATGATACCCAGTGAAATAAACTAACTGTTAATACAAGTGTAGGAAAATACAATATTTAAATAATCCCATTGTATAAGCCTCTGCCATTATTCAAATTAAAAGTCATATTGGCCTAAAGTGACACATGGGGTAATTCTCTTTTTTTGTGAATCTTGGAACACTAGAACTAAACAGGAATAAAGCATCCCAGTCACAATAACAAACTAAAGATGTGCTAAGTACTGTTAAAATTTAAAAACTATGGCAAATCCCACATCAGAAACGTCCTGTGCTGAAGTTTAAAATGCACCCATTTACTTTGTTCAATTCAGGACAGCTCAGTATTAACCTCTTGATAACTTAATCACCTAACACTCTACATGACCACAGTATTTAGACTCCTGACTAACGTTAAGTCCAAAACTTCCACTTCCACGTTTCCAACATACTCATTTAATCCAAAACATAGATATAATCATAGCAATAATTACCTTTTATTTTTATTTTACATATATCATCTCATTTAATCCTCAAAAATCACTCTTTCATTAACTCTTATCTTTACAGGAGATTGAGTGACTAAGAATCAAACTGTACCATCACAACAATTAAAAGCCAAGGCTGTGCCCCATGCTGAAGTAAGAGTGGTGGGAAAGAGAAAATGGTAAACTCGAGATCTGAGGAATGTCTCAGCTCCTCCACCTGTACCCTCTCCCTTCCAGGTACTCCCTCCCAACAAAGACGTCAACTATCCTTTTGGAAAGAATCATCTACTGGGATTCAGTGTGGAGACAAGAGGAAAATTAACAAACCTTCCCACTCTAGGTTATGGTGTCACCTAAAAGCTGAGGTCCAGGGAGACAGGCAGGGCAATGAAGCCTATTGCTAGGTAGCAACTGCCAGGTCCAGGTCTAGCCTTAACAATTAGGACTCAACATGATCTCTGGTTTCCGAGTCTACTAAGCTTCTAAGGAAACTGCAAAACTCCAACCCAGGCAAACAAAAAGTTGTGATTGTTGTCCCTATAGCAATCTGTGGCTCCACCTTACAACATTAAGTGAGCTGCTAAAATATTCAGACCACAGAAAAGGAATCCTCCAAATGGGAGATCTTCTCAGAAGGGTAAACTATAGTTGCCACATTAACCATGCAACTAACTTTAATGCTAAGGAGAAGAGTTCTCAGGATATCCCTGGCCAGCTGGGTTTTTGCTATGGACCTGGTCATTATGGTGTGTTGTTTTCCTTTCTCCCTTTTTCCAAATAGTTTTCATTGCAACCGCCCTGTTTTCCCTTCATCATTATAAATCGGGAATACGGAGAGGAGGGGGAATAATTAAAATTTTCATTTATTTATAGTTTTCCAGACCAGAGGTTTGGAGCTGGAATGACTAGATGAGTCTGGGTTATCATCTTTTAGAAAGGGGAACTTATTTTAGCAATACTATATCAGCTGGCCCCCATGCACTATATGAATAAAACTTTGTCCTGAAATCAGCTGATTAGAATTCACAATGCACTCGTTGTCATAGACACAACACTATAAATAATGTTTTGGTTCCCAGGTTAACTAAAATGTATATGTATATTTACACCATCGCCTAGATCCAACTACTAATTTACAGGAAATACAGAAGACAGAGAAATATGTCAAACCACACCATGGGGATACAATCAGTAAAGGCCAAACTGTGGGGCTAGACAAAAAATTTGGTTTTTTCAACAAATAAACTGCAGGGGGGAAAACAGAAATGGAAGGGGAATCTATAGACTAAAAATGACTTCAAAGATATATTAGCCAATTGCAACATATAAACCATTTTGGATCCTGATTCAAACAAACAAATATTTAAAATGTGACATGGGGGAATTGATGAAAATTTGAACACTGCTTGGATATTTGATAATATTAAGGAATTATTATTTTTAAGGTATGATAATAGTATTGTGGGTGTGTTAAGAAGGGTCCTTATCTTTTAGCTGTATATACTGAAATTTTCACAGCTGAAATATGATAGCTGAATTTGCTTCAAAATACTTGGGGGAGGGAGAGAGTAGATATGGACATGGATGGGGCAGGACTGATCCTGAGTTAATGGCTGTTGGAGCTGGGTGATAACTACATAGAGATTCATTACAGTATTCTGTCTACTTTTGTGTATGTTTTAAATTCTCCATAATAAGTTTAAAATTTTTTAAATAACGAAACAGAATAAAGAAAGTGTATAAGGTACCTAATTATTATTATTCTGGTGAACATATTATCCAATTTAAAAAAACTTGAATACTTAGGCTAAAGGATTCTTGAATAGACCCATCCAGGAAATCACAAGACATATGCCTTCAAATTTTTATAGTGATTATAATCATCTGAATTCTGAATACTGAAGACAGAGGTAAGTGATACGGATAGGAAGAAGAAAAGGAAGGTAGAGTTCCCTTTTCTCTGGGAGAGGGTTTGTCTTTGGCCACTCCTATTACCTCTCATCAACTAACTTTAAAATACTTCTTGAGTGCTTATTATACACAAAGCATTGGCCTAGGCCCTGTAGGAAGGTAAAGATGAGTGAAATTTAGTACTGAACCCTTAAGAAGCTTACAATTGATTAAGTAACCCCTCCCACTGATGTTCTCAGATCTGTAAAATATTTCTCCCCCCAACTCCATTGGCACATTTCAACCTTCCTGTCTTACTCTATAAAGAATTTCACTCCAAAAGTACCTGTTTTTCTTCCTAATTCCCAGTAAGAACTTCCCACCATTTCCCCATTTTAGCTTGCCTTAGGTAATTCTTAAAAGGAAAAAGAAAATGTTTTTGAATCAGGTTAGATAAACTCATACAATTATTTTAAAAAATAATGTAATCCTGACAGTGACCAGTAGGTTAGGTATGCCTTGAGGTCAGTTCCAGGAGTTAAATCTAACTTGTCACAGCTTCCTCCCTCCTTCCTCAACAGAATCCACATATTCCCTCAAGACTTCAAGTTTCACTAACCCTGTCGAACCCAAGTTCCTGTGCCTGAGGCACAGTGAGACCAAACAAACCAAAACGTTGAAGTTTGGAGCAAAGAAAGGTTTATTGCAAGGGCTATGCAAGAAGAACAGGCAGCTCATGCTCGAAAGGCCCAAATTCCCTGAGAGTTTTGGGGGAAGACTTTTTTTTTTGGGGGGGAGTTCTTTTCCAGATTCTTTTCCATTGGGGGAAGAGTTTTTAATAGCAAAATTTGGGGTAGGGACTGCAGGGTATGTGACTTTCTTCTGATTAGTTGGTGGTGAGGTAACAGGGTGATGTTTCTGAAATATCATCCTTCTAGTTCCAACCAGTCTGGTTCAAGCATGTAGTCACCATCCTCCACTTGGGTGGGGTCTTAGTTTCTGTAGAACAGCTCAAACACATGGGCTCTCGTACTTAGGAGGGCCCCCGCAGGGTCCTGCTCGGTTTCAATGCCCCCTTTTCTTTGATACTCCACCATCTTGGGGGGAACAGCATGGGACAAGAAAGGGAATAATGTTTTTGATAGGTTAACATAAACTTGGCAGATGAATTTGGTTTTGGGGGGACTCAGTTTCATTCCTGCCTCAACCCCATAACTGCAGTAGCTGTGGGCACTCAGGTTCTATATCAGTGAAAGGTTCGTATTTTATGTCATGAAAAAGTCACTAACCATATAGTTAAAATATTTCTAATATGACTGAATTTTATATATAATCAATGAAGATAATTCCATATTCTGTATTGTGAACTAATGTGAAAAGAAGCAGATTTAATCAAACATGGAACACAATCATACCTGCATGGTCCTTCTTTTAGTTAATGTTACTTGGAAATTTTTCCATTCCCAGCGCTGCTCCACCACATGTGCAAAAACAACATGTCTATTTCCACAGGCTCCAGCGATCTGGGTGCCATCAATTGACCACGCAATATTAAATACGCTGCCGGTGTTGGGCTTTTCTAAAGCATATGACCACTGGGAAAGAAAGTAAGAAAAAAATCAATTTATTTAAAAATTTTTAAAGAGGTTTTAAATTGAGCGTATGTTAACATATTCAGATAATTTTAAAAAGAACGTACCTGTATTCAAGAATTACTAAGAAATGCTTTTCTTAATGAGATACAATTTTTAAAGTACACAGCAGAATAAATAACATGATAAAAGTGTATGAAATCTCTTAAGAACTGCAAAACACCCATACCATTTTGATTTACATTATTACTTTTAAGCAGTAATACTGAAAAATTAAATACAAAGATTCCACAGAGAGAAGCAAAGACATTTTACTATTAATCTGTAAGGATCTCTATAGTCTCCACATCTAAACATTTATTATAACATTTCAACATTGTGTGTTCAATTTTTGATGACATTATTGAAATATTATACTGTCATCAAAATTGAACATACAGTGTAACTAAAATATCTCTGATACACATCTTACTCCATGAAAGGACAGGTAAATGGATTTTTTTCCACAATGCATTAAGTATAACCTCATCTAGAAGCTATCTGTGAAAGCTATCTAGAGATACCAATGAGTATCAGCTGGGACAAAAGAGATGTGTGTGTGTGTGTGTGTGAATAAGACATTAAGAAAAAAACTTTTTCAAAGACAGTGCTATATACATTTTCTTTCACTTTTCAGATGAAACGTATATTTACTAGAAGGATGATTTATTTATTTGACTAAATTTATATATATTTTCTTTCCATTCTTTCAATCTTATAACCTATAGTCAAATTAAGTCTTGATTTTGTTGTTGTTTTTGTTGTTGTTGTTCTTGGATGGGTATTTCTTTTTCTTTTACATTATTTTTTTAAAATATGCATTATTAGCTATGGGTTCGCTGACAAAAAATTTGGAGAAAATGAAAAACATACATAAAAAATTTCATTCATTCACACTACTATAAAACAAGACTTTAAATTCCCAATAAAAATTCACATGTACAATAAAAAGGCTGAATGACTTACTACTCACTGACACTTTTTTTCAGCTCCCTCCTATTTCCCTTCAAACCTCTAACCGTTTGTTTAAATAAAAGGCCCTGTAACAAAGCTATTATGGAGAAGGTAATGAAAAAACCATAAGCTTTGTTTCATCAGCAGCATGAAGATTCATATTTTAAAACTCTTTAAAGTATGATTTTAAAACCCAAAGAACCAGAAAGAAACATCTTACTAAAATTAAACTTAAAAATACTTATCTAAAAACTCATGGATGCCTGATCCTAACAGGAGAAAATGGAAAGAAATTTTACATATTATCATCACCCTAAATTCCTCTGATTTCTTTCAGAGTCCACATGAACCATGAAATCCAAGCTATATTAAATTCTTCTTTTAAAATTAAGAAGTGATTTCTTCCTCTTTGTGAATACTATAATAATAAAAAAAAATACAAGCACAAGCAAATCATCAGAGAAGGAGTCTTTAATAGTTACTAAATTTGAAGGGACAGGGTTATATTTTGTCCAATTGGTAAATTTAATAACTTTTATTGGTAAATCAAAAGGATCTATTTATTATTTGTCCTTTTTTATGATTTGTTAAGTATTTTTTTCTTTTCTGCATTTCATCTTTCACTTTTTTAAACTGAAATATAGTCGGTTTATGCATTTATCCTTTTTCTAAACTGAGGTATAGTTGAATTACAAAATTAGTGTCAGGTGTACAACACAGAGATTCAAAATTTTTATAGAATATACTCCATTCAAATGTATTATAAAGTATTAGCTATATTCCCTGTGCTTATCATTTGTGCTTTTAAAGAGATTTGTAATGCTCTAAGTCTCTTTTCTTCTCCAAATAAGCCATAGAACATTTGATTCACATTTGCATTTCTAACGTCTAGAAAGAAACGAGGCAGACTCCTTGGATGTAATTGGGTGGTGCTAATAGCAAGAATCCTGAAGACAAATTTTTAACTATCCTTCTCACTTACGCTTATCTCTTTCTTTGACCTTAGTTTAAGATAGTGTTACTCAAAATGTGCTCAGGCCAGAAGCATCTGTATCACCTGTGATCTCGTTAGAAATGCAAATTAATAGGTCCCACACCATCCTATTGAATCTGACCCTCTAGGGGATGAGGCCAGGAAACTTTTAATGAGCTCTTCAGGAGATTCTTAAACATTGTAAAGTTAGGACACTGGTTCTCAACTCTGGTTGCACATTAGAATCATCTGGGAAGCTTTCAAAAAAAATACCAAAACCCAAGAGTGCAACTAACTAAATCCAGAATTTCTTGGGGTGGGGTCTGGATATG